GTGGGCCCCCTGCATCCTTGTGTCCCCACATCCCCACGTGTCACCGTGTCCCCATGGTGTGTCACACCACCCCTGTGTCCCGGCTCCTCCCTCCATGGCCAAGTGTCCCCTGGTGTCCCTGTGTCCCCATGTCCCCACATCTCTCCAAGTCCCTTCCATCCCTCCATGGCCACATGTCTCTGTGTGTCCCATGTGGCCACCATCCCTGTGTCCCTTTGTGTCCCATTTGGCCACCATCTCCATGTCTCTGTGTGTCCCATGTGGCCACCATCTCCGTGTCTCTGTGTGTCCCATGTGGCCACCATCCCCATGTCCCTTTGTGTCCCACGTGGCCCCCTCTCTGTGTCCCTGTGTGTCCCATGTGGCCACCATCCCCGTGTCCCTGTGTGTGTGTGTCCCTGTGCCCTGTCCCTGCTGTGGGGCTGTGGTCCCACGTGTCCCACCCGCCCGGTGTCCCCGTGTCCCTGTCCCCAGCTGGCAGAGGGGGTGGACAGGTACATCTCCAAGTTTGAGCTGGACAAAGAGGACTCGGAGCGCAGCAACGTTGTCATCTACCTCAACAAGGTGGGGACACGGAGGGGGGACGTGGGGATGGAGAGGAGGTGGAAGAGGTTGGGACATGGTAGGGGAAGGATGAGAAGAGGGATGAGAGGGGACAGGGATGGGGAGATGGTGGGACAGGGATGGGGAGGTGGATGGGGAGATGGTGGGACAGGGATGGGGACATGGGGGGACAGGGATGGGGACAGGGTAGGACAGGGATGGGGACAGGAGGACAGGGATGAGAGAGGATAGGGATGGGGACAGGGACAAGGAAGGGCACAGGCTGGAGTTGGGGACATGAGCAGGGAGAAGGGTGGGGATGAAGCTGAGGGCACAGGTGAGGACAGAGGTGGGACAGGGACACAAGTGGCTCTGGGGACAAGGGCAGAGATGGGATTGAAACTGGGGCTGTGGACAAGGAGACAGGTGGGGACAGGAACAGGGATGGGGACAACATGGGGACATTGCTGGGGACAGGGCCAGGCTGGGGGTCCGGGCACTGATGGGCTGGTGGCTGGTGGCCATCTGCATGTCCCACGTCCCTGTCCCTGTCCCCAGATCTCTCACCAGGCCGAGGAATGTTTCTCCTTCCGAGCCCACCAGCGGTTCCAGGTGGGGCTGATCCAACCCGCGTCCGTCACCGTCTACAGCTACTACAAGATCGGTATGTCCCGGGTCCCCTCGGGTCACCCTGGGGTCCCCTCCCTCCCCACACTCTCCTCTGGGCCCCCCATCTCCCACCAAGTCCCCTTCTGTCCCACCACATCCTTGCTGATCTTCTCCCCGTGTCCCCACGTCCCCTCCGTGTCCCCCTGTGTCTCCTCTCCCTCCATGTGTCACCACCGTGTCCCCGTGTCTCCTCTCTGTGTCCCACTCCCCCTGGTGTCCCCTGCTGTCCCCACAGACGACCGCTGCACCCGCTTCTACCACCCGGACAGGGATGGTGGGCAACTCAGCAAGATCTGCCACGGGGACGTGTGTCGCTGCGCGGAAGGTGACGCGGGGACGTGGGGACAGGGAAGGGTCCCCAGCCCTGGCTGGTGGGACACGTCACTGGCATGATGGGTCATGTCATGTCCTTGGTGGGACATGTGCTTGACATGATGAGACACTTCATGTACTTGATTGGACGTGTCATTGACATGATGGGACACGTCATGGCCATGATGGGACATGTCATTATTGTGATGGAACATGTTATTGATATGGTGGAACATGTCATGTCCTTGATGGGACACGTCATGTCCTTGGTGGGACATGTCAGGGCTGTGATTGGACACATCACTGACATGATGGGTCATGTCATGTCCTTGGTGGGACACAGCAGGGCTGTGATGGGTCATGTCATTGACATGATGGGACACATCATGGCCATGATGGGACACGTTAGGCCCATGATGGGACATGTCATTGTCGTGATGGAACCTGTTATTGATATGGTGGAACATGTCATGTCCTTGATGGGACACATCAGGCCCATGATGGGACACATCAATGACATGATAGGACACGTCATGTCCTTGGTGGGACATGTTATTGACATGATGGGACACGTCATGGCCGTGATGGGACACATCATGGCCTTGGCGGGACACGTCAGGGCTGTGATGGGTCATGTCATTGACATGATGGGACACATCATGGGCCATGATGGGACACTTCATGTCCTTGATGGGACACGTCAGGCCCATGATGGGACACTTCATGGCCGTGAGGGGTCGTGTCATGGCCAGAATGGGACACGTGGTGGCCACGATGGGACACATGGTGGCCAGGATGGGACACGTGGTGGCCACGATGGGACACCTGCCTCATGGCTGTGGTGGGGCCACGTCCC